AGAATGCAATCCATTGAATAAATGCCTGAAATAAGGGGAAATACAAGGAAAAGAGCATATAAAAAATAAAGGAAATCAGAGCCAATGAATTGCTTCACAGATAACTCACCTTTCCCTTTTTAGGAGTTTGAAACCGGAGCTGAAAAAGATAGACTTTGCAAGCGCGAACTCCCTTTCGAAAATCAGCTGATTCCACGCGTTCCACAATGCTCAGCGCCCGGCTGTGCCCGCCGGTCGACAGTCACCGCAATGATGAAAGGACTGTTTCCCAAAAGCAGGCTGTTTTTCAGAGCCGATGTGCTGGGACATGGTGGAAGCTGGACCGCAAAGCGCTTCTCAAACTGAGCTATAGCTGAAGCGTGTTTGTGGGCAGAAACGAAGAAATCGCTACTGCCCGGTACGAGAGGAGGGCAGTAATACGACCGAATTTCTAAATCGGAAGCCGATTGGGCGGAAATGGCCAACCAGAAACTTGAAATTTACGAAAAGGTGAAAATTTGATACATAATGAAATATTAAACCATGTGACCGTTCGTGGCGAGTTTTCAGGCTCTTACTCAACTATTTGCGTTATCCGAAGGATGACACCGAACGATGCGTTCACCTTATGGGAATACCCTAGTAAATCGTTTTTCGCTGATAACTAATATCGTAGGTTCACGAGCGACAGACTGCTAAAATATTGAGCAACAGGATAAAATGTTAAGAAAATACTAAAAATTATTAAGCATAATGATTTGGCATTATATTTCGCATAGAATGCCGTGAGCCTCTACTGTTTCAACAATACCGTTTTATTGTATTTCTTGCTGAGAAATTCTTTACAGGTCCAATGAACATCGCTGCCTTCAATACAGTTGGGAAAGCGTTTGCTATTTTATATACACTTATAGGTTAAATCACGTTTCTGAACAATTTTTTCAAATATTCTGTGTAGCGCTGTGGCGAATATCGTGCCCTGATTCGAGACTCCTATTGCGCTCCCGTAGATCGCCGTTCACCGGGATTAACTGAAACATTTGCAGTTTAGGAAATAGTTCATGCTTATTGCGTAGTGTACGCAGTTAATCGTATAGGAGAACTCCAGCAGACAGCGTATACAGTCCCGCATCCGTAATACGCTCGCAGTCAGGGCACACATCGCCTACCTTCCTTCAAGCGTCTTAGAGAAAAAGGGGCACACTCATGGGAAAGGCAGAATAGTTAGCTGTCTCGTCCCCTATACGATCACCGCAGGGTGCATCCTAGAATATTTCTTGGAGACTTCTTCGAGGGAGTTGGGCTCTCCAAAACTGGAGCACGTTTGTGAAAGGGGGTCATGAAATTTTGGCCACAATCCTGCTATATATAAATACACCAAGAGAATCATCGAAATTAAAGAGTTTTTTTATGCGTAAGGGCAGAGAGGCAATTTGAGGTGGCTCCGATCATGAGAACTATGCACAATTTGGTTTCTAGCGCTGGTGCCACTGAGCTTCCCCCCCCCCACCCCCCTTTTGAACGGAATTCCGCGTAAGCTTGTACACTGGGGTTACTCGGTGACCTAGTCGCGGAGTATCACACTATTTTTCGAAGGTGGTATCACTTGGCCGCCAGTTTGGCCCGACCAAATTGTTTTGCTAATTTCGGTGTGAACTTGTATAGTGTAGCTATTCGGTGTACTAGTATCGGAGCCCCATTCTTTTCCCAGAACGAAGATCATTTAGCCCCTGTCAAGGCTCGGACTAGGAGAAATAGGGAACCGCTTCCCCCCTAGGCTCAATCTTAGTTACCACAGTGCAGGTGATCAGAGTGGTCAGCACAATGCAGGTGACCACTCCAAGAATGAATGTCAAAGATAATCACGATGTAAAAATAACACGTATACAAATTTTCAGTGGTGGGTGAGTGAGGTGGTGGCTCAAAGGGCGCCTATTATTGCCGATTTGGCTCCGGCCGTTAAAAAACTAATGTCGGGTTTGTGGTCAGGGCACTGAAACTAGCATACAGACACGATTTCAACAAGAAAAAAAACGAATTTTTGACGTGGTAGTTATAGTGGGATAGCGCCAAACCTTTTTTATTATGATGGCCCAAAAATCGCTAAATTGGGAATAAATGCAGCCTTGGTGGTGCCGTGGGTAGCGCACTCGCCCCGTAAGGGTGAGGGGCATGTTCGAGTCCCACTTGGAATCAAGCATTTTGTTTACAACTCAGCTTCCCTTGTGACAAGTTTACTTAAACTGGTAATCCAACGCCGCCTGGTCTGAACTCCTGGCAGTTTTTCAAGGAAACTTTTATGTCCATCTTTATTCATGCTTGTACATTTGCGACTGAAGTCATTCCAGGTGTTCCACTGTGTTTGTTGCTTGTCTCGCAATGTGGGCGAATGATCACGTCCTTATGGGAGGTGAACCTATTACATATTTTTCTCAAAGACTGCTTAATTACTGCTACACGGAATAAAATGTAGAAGTGTTCTTGAGGAGGTTTTTGGGCGCTTGTCTATTAAAGATTTGGCTGGATTTACTATCAAAGAACATGTTTTATTGTCTAGCAGACATTATCAGCTACCAGGGACTCATAATGTGGGAGGGGTGAGTTCTCAAGGAAATATTTCAAAATCTAAGGATCATCCTTCGTAGTGACTAGTACGTAAGCTCATATTTCAACCTAGCCTTATACGAAAACAGACAGTGCTCCAAAACGAAACTGTTCAATGATTGGCCCCCACTGCTTAGCAATTATACCGCACAGCTGTTAATTTTGATGCTCTCTTGTTCCAACATATCGACAACACAGCAAAACACTATTATCAGTGGAGGGATACCCGATGAGGGAGCTCCCTATCAGGGGATTTACAGCCCGCGTGAAGCAGGAATAATCGACATTCAGAAAAGATTTGAGGCCAGATAGGGCCCCTCTAATTCGATGGCGAAATACGAACACTTGTGTTTTACACAAATCGATCGGTTGATCGATTTGTCCTGATCAGAACAAAATCGGTCAATTCAACCACGGGGGCACATTCCGATAAAAAAGCTCGCCACCCCCCTCCGAAAACTGGGTGATAGAGTGCTCGTAGTCATGAATTTTCCTTCATGTTAAAGAATATTTATCAGAGAGCCTTTCCATAATGGCATGTCAGCTCTTCCATTATTTTTTTATTAGCGGAAACAGAATGACGGTCAGGTTATAAGGTCCTGTACGGCGGTTTTTGAAACTATTTCAACAAGGGATCTGTTGAGATATAGTTTCAACAAGTAGGGTCTTTCAGGGTATGGGGCGCTATCTCAACACTTGCATAGTGTTGGAGATTCACTTGTGCCAGAAAAGTCAGGTTCGCTCTAGCTGAGGGGTTACAGGAATGCTGAAAAGTAGCGGTAACTTCCCCGAGCGACGGCCATTTGGACCTCTTTTTTGATTAAGGGCCGCCTATAATACAGAGTGCTTTTCTCACGATTTATTATTACTTAAAATATTTGTCTAAGACATTTATATAAAAATGTGATGCAGTTATTAGTATTCTCATCTATAAGAGGTTGGGAGTATGAAAACTCCATCCTTTGTCTCCAACTTCTCTCTTCGTATAACCTCGGCATTGTTGTAACTTTGAAGTTCTATTACTTCTGCGAGAACGAGGTTTGTAGGTGGAACCCCACCTACAAACCTCGTTCTCGCAGAAGTAATAGAACTTCAAAGTTCCATCCTTTGTCAATCTCTCTTTTGGCGCGGCACGCATTTTTCCATTCAGGATAGTGGTGACTTATTGAGTGCGATGGGGCCTATACAACGATTTGCGAGGAGCCCCGATGTAAATGTCAGCATTCTTATCCATCTCCAGACCAATCTTGAACGATTTCATCGTTTCCGGAGTATAGAAGACGTGGCTGAGCCAGGCCTTCTGTATTACGGGCACTGGATTGCACGCCTCGTCTGACGGCTCTCCTAAGGTACAGCACCGTGATGTGTGAAAGTGATGGTTTCAGTACGACCCCCTCTCTTCCCCAACATCTGCCTACCATTTTCCTACATGTTCCCAAATTCGTACCAGTTTTTTTCCGAAATTTCCTGAAAATTTGCTGCCCCCAAAGAATCTTCCGTCGAGAATGGGGAAAAAACGCGAGAATCCAACAGCCGGGAGAAATTTCCTCCCAGCGCGACGAATTTCTCTCAAGGCCCCCCATGTGTTTTGCACAACGATGTTGTACCCTGTCTCCACCAGTTTCGGAAGCAAGGCAAGCGAAAATCAGGTTAGCACCGCTGCAAACGGCTCACTTGACACGCCCCAGCATCCGCGGCGAACGAAACTGTAAGCGTATCACGATATGTGATCAAAAGCCCCATAAGTGGCGCAGTCATCCACCCTCTGTTGTAGGCTCGTGTGGTAGGTACACTCCTTATCCCTGGGACGGACCAGGTGTGGCATTTGAACACGACAATAGGAAGGGGTTACCCGTGGCATATTTCAACTTGAAAAAACCGTCATCTACTTTCAGTGTTGGGCAGGGACATGACCACAATTGTCTCAAAATGGAAACATTCCAACAGAAGCAAAACCACCCCAGGTTTAGTTGAAGTACGCAGCCACGCCTACACATCTCAGAAACTTCGAGTGTAGTGAGGCGCAGTTTTTTAGGCAGTATCAGAACGAGGGTATACAATTCGATTCCCTTGAGACAAAATGTTCCAACCTGCAGGAGCGTTTGAGAATTATTTATTTAATTATTGATTTTGTGGATTTTTGTTTCCGCGGTAAACGAACCCTCAACATTTGGTTCTTTTGCACTTGACTTTGTTAGGAAAGCTCAGCAAAACTAAACTCCCGTACCTGAAAGTCTTCTTATGAGGGTATACGGTAACAGAAAAGCAGGAAATCTAATTCGTTTGCTGTGGATCTCAAACCCGCTCTATTACCACTTCATAAGATCTAAGAGTCGCCTTCGAAAACTATTGATTCCACTCACTCCGGTAAACTAAAATTTTACCAGGGAGCAAACTAATTTGTACTGTTTATTGCTATGTGTTTTCGCGAAATTTCTTTGTCTTGTATTACCCAGCTTCTTCTTCTTTTAAGCTCAGCACGTGATGTTGTGAGTATTTCACTTGTTTTGTACCCATCAGTTCGTTTTCTCGGTAACGGTGTCTTCTCGTGCTGTTCCTGAGACGATCTCGGAACCGCTTAACGACTGAACGACTGTTTAGCACCGACTTCTCGCGCTTGAAATGTGTTCAGCCACTGAAGTCGACGTCCAGAGAACGTCTTGTCTAAAAAGCTCGTGAGGCACAAAATAAATGAAACACTCAGTGCAGAGCTAATTTACAAAGTAATTGATAGTTATCGGGCAGCAATGCCTCACATCTGTCACGCAAGTAGTGTAGTGATAAACAACTGTTAAGTAAAAACCACAAGCAATAAAGCAGGAAAATGAAAGATGGGAGCAATCAACGTTTTTCTTTCAGGGAAGAGCTTTACTGATTCCTGTCTTGGGTTTCATTTTCGTATCCGCTATCATTTATGATATTATAGAAGATGGAACTGATGATGTTGTAAGTTACAAGTCGCTTGGAACTCATCAGAAACTTTTCAGTTTCTTCTTCTTCTTCTGTTGCTTCTTCTTAGCTTCTTTCCACTTTCACGCCCAAAGGGGAATCTCCTTGAACAGCACGACATTGTTGTGAAGGCCCTGCTCCACCAAATCTCACTTCCTTCTAGCTGAACTCTCCTAAAAACCCTCTGTGGGGTGAAGGGCTGTATACTGTCCAATAAATCCATCCCTTTTCCTTTTCAGCATTTTGAAACCGGGGACTCTTCTCCGCAAGACGCGTACAGTCAGACCGCTTTCAGGCCTCGCGGTCGCGCGATTAAATCGCGCGACGTGTGGACGCGGCTGGCCTAGTTTGAATTCTGCCGTTACGGCGGCGCACCGTTTGGCGGTGGAGCGCTCTCCCCGTGGCGATCGCGCGATCCAATTTAGCGATCCGAACGAGCGGTGGCAAAATTTAACTCAGTATTACCCCCTCTCGAACGATTCGAATTCCTAGGGCTCCCCGCTTTGCTTGGGATTCCACACTAATCGCGCACGCTGTACTAACTCCTTGGTTTACTACTTAGTCCATCACTTACTTCTCACAGTATTGATTTAGCCATTCGTTGATGCAATCTTTTCGATCTTCCTACAATTCTCCGCGATCGGCGAGATGGATAGCGAATTTCAGTGGGTTCACAATTTTTTTGGGCCATCACCTCAGTTGATGCTTGATTTTTGTATTCAGTTAAAGGTGATGTGTTGGGCATCCAGGTGCTCACAGGTTAAATTGGTAGCATGTGAAGAATGCAGCAATAGAGACTGAACACGAGCGCGACATGCGCGGTTGTGATGGACACCTCAAGTGGAAATGGCTTGAAACGACAGCGAGTTCATGCATAAAGTTCATCTGAAAAATGAATCAGCTGAAAGGACGTAGAATTTTGTGGCTGTGTGGTACAATCACGTGTATAGTTCTTGCTCCCGGACTAGTCAACAACGGGGTTTGCAAGGTCTTGTGAAGTTTGGCAGGAATTGATCGTCGGCTAGATCGAGCTCTCCCAGCAGGAGGCATCATGGTTCAGTGGAATTCTATTCCTTTTTTCAAAATTCGTCCCGGTGTGGTTTGGGAAGAGAGAGGGAGAGACGGGGAAAAAGAGGGTGGAGGCGCAGTTCGGCGACAAGGGGGCACTTGCACTTTTGCTATTTCCTGTCGAGGATGGAGATATGAGGTTGACACCTGTGAGACTCTTGTGAAGCCACGAAATGATGCCAACCAAAGTTTATAGAAGCTACCTGTTAACTCTTGTAAAGAATATTTGTCAACTACTGCAAAGCAATGAAATACCATTCAAACACCATTTACCACGATGGCTCGATGAGCTTGCCCCAGCTTCCAAGAGCTCACAGGTTCCGCCAGAATGAGACTTGTAAGACGAACTAGTGAAGCACTGGAGGTGCAGGATGCTCCCCTCCCCACCTTCCCCCTTCGCAAGATAGGTATCCATTCAGCTACAAGAAATATTGAAATGCAGACATACAAATCCCAGAGATGCGGTGGGCGTGGCTGCGTACTTCAACCAAACGTGGAGGTGGCTCTGCTTTTGGTGAGATATTTTCATTTTGACACAATTGAGCATTGTCTCTGTCCAACAGTGAAAAGATGACAATTGTTTCAATCCGAAAAACCGCGAGAAACCCATCCTGGGCCATGTACTAATGCCACGCCTACTCCGTCTCAGGGATAAGAAGTGTAGCTTGCTAAGACCCATATAGCAGGTACGCTGTTTCGTTGGGGCACGCAGTGCTACAAGCGGGAGTATGGATTTATTCCGAAATGGAAGCAACATCCCAGTCTTTTGAACGGCAGATTCATGTTCAGAAGTGTGATGCGATGAGATTTCCTCAAATACAACCCCTCCCTATGGGCGCATTCTGGGCAGTCCTCAGCGAAATTTCTACGGGCTATCTCGTGGGAATCTGTACAACCCTGTCCTGTATGAAGGCCCACTGGTACCATTTTGCCGCTCTAGACGAGTTATTGGTGGGATAGGGCGTTTCACCAAAATTAGTCCAGTAGTTGACATGAACTGGCAAAGGGGACCACAAAATGTACAAAACACCCCTTCGTGCTGAACAGCGCTGGATTTTCTCTGACTGTTTGAGCTTTGAGCTGGAACTCGGCTAAGAATTGGCCTTTGGGTGCTTTCAAATCTGAAAACGAGTTTCTCATCTAATGAGATGGGCTGAATGTGATTAGTTGTTCACAAAGACAATGCTGTCTGAGTTCTATTTCTCAACTCTTTCTCAGCTGGCCACAACTGGCCACTTTCTCGAATAGTTTTTCGCCAAGAACAGGCGTCATGCTGTGCTGTGATAAAAAAAGAGCTTTTACAGCTGGCAACTCTCATCTTATTGCGTTCACCTGAATGATGTTGAGCCATTGGCCCTGCTTTCAGGGAGGAGAATTAGGGGCGAAACTTGAAGAGACGGGATATCCCTTTTTAGACACTTCGCATTTTAACGTTCCAATTTTTCAGTGGCATTATTCCGTACGTAATCACCATCGTCGGAGTTGCTATGATGAGCGCTGTGTTCTCCCAAATGCAGCATGAACTCGAGCGATCAGTTCATGGACCTGAATTCACATTTTCGAAGTCAGTTTATTTTCTCATTGAGGGCAAATAATGCTGTGAAATTTATCAATATCATCCATTTGTAACATGAGAATATTAGATTTACAATTACGGGTTCGAGAATCACAGCCCGAAGCAGCGTTTAGACTTCGCGATGACACACGTCGACGCGCTTTAGATTGATTTGCATCGGGAGCTTGTGTCTTGAGAGAGAGACAGAGAGAGAGAGTATAAGATATAAAGAGGGCAGGCGCTGCTTTAACATCATTTAACCATGCTTCTGTCCTCTCCCAAAGCCCTGATGGCCAGTGCTGATCATTACCAGACTGCATAATTGGTCTAGGGAAGTATAAGTATCGATCCAGCGTCTACCAGCGACTGGTGGTGGAAGGTATGGGGAAGTAGGAGGGTAGCAAACAGCTAGATTAAGCGTCATAAAATTGCGGCATGTGCAACCGCCCGTACAGCTACACTATACGGTACATTGAATTGCATAATGCTGTGCTTTAGCAGTTGTGCACACACCGTAACTTGACAACGCCAGATCCAGCTGTTTCCTACCCTTCCACTTCCCTATACTCTCTACTTCCGGTCTGAACGCTGGTAGACACTGGCAGACGCTAGATCGATTGTATAGTTCAATAGCTCTCGAGACGCTGACAGTCGCTGATAGACGCTGGCAGGAGGCTGGGTCGATTTTTGCTCCCCTGCTCGCAGACGTTGCCGGGCGCTCGGAGCGCTAGCGGTTGCTGGTGAACGCTGATGGACGCTGCCGCGAAGTGTGAACGCAGCCTCAGAGACGTATATGACGTTTACTATGAATCCCATACATCTTTACGTGCAGTAGGAATATCTTGTTACTAAAATCACCACAACGCATTGTAGAGCGCTGGCATTGATCAGCTCCCCTGCGTAGAGTCCAGGTCTTTGATGGATTCGTCCAAGAAAAACTATGCACTAACATTCGTGAATTGTGGCCTTGCCATTTGCGAGGTGGAGGTCCGCGGCTCCAAAGCGCGCCACTTTATGCTCAAAAGTGCACAGCAATGGGACTGGGGTAGCGGTACACGGATGCCGTCTCCATACTTCGCCAAAGATGTCCTAAAGGAGGAGGATACCGGGATGTCGTGGCGTACATGAAATTCGGTGTTCCAGTCGGAAAATTGCAAATGCGAATTGAGAAAATGTCGCACCCGTGACCGCGTGCGACGAAGCGGCAAAGTACGATTGCCTCAACAGTCTTCCAGATACATACAATTTAGATCACCACGACCTGTCGGGTCGCAATCAGCGGTTCCCACCTGCGGCCTTCCCACCAGTGGCTGATTCCTTCCTACATCGATCATTGCTCGATCACCATTGGTAGAGCAAGGCGGCCGGACGCGAGCTCGTGCCGCGCCACCCCCGACGAATTGCAATGTTACAAACTATAAGTCTGGAATAATGACGACTGACTCCCTTGGAGCGAGGTGGACAGGAACCAGTCCCATAGTGAGCATTTTCTTCTTTTCCTCCAGCTGAAACTCAAGCGTTATGCTCTTGATTAAGGCCAACCAGCATTTCCACTGGTTGCTCGATGATCGCCGCAATAAACATGGTGTCGTCAGCAAAGCAGAGGTATGTAGTTGTCAGCCGTCAGCTGAGGAAGTGACAAAGTTGGGGAGGGGGGGAGGGGTGGGGTGTGCGTCGCTTTGACAAGCTCCCTAGTTCACTTCGATGACGAAAGCTTAAAACCCTCGTTGCTGTAACGCTCATGAAAGAGCCCTGTACACTGCGCAAGAAACTGCTGGAAAAAAAGCTGAGGTGCCAGTTACGAAACATTGCTAACTGGTTTCGATACAATTGGATCTTCGGTGCGCTGTACTCGAAAAATCAAAAACAGTCCATATACCGAAAAAATAATTCGGAGCAAATATAATACAATTCGAACTGATAAACGTGTTGCCGCCTCTGCAAGTTACACAGTCGTACGTTTGAGGGGTAAAAAAGTGATGCGTCACTTTTCACGGTTTCCTCTCCCTTCTTCATGACGCACATTGGGGAAAGTACAATGCTTTTCTCATGTAGACCTGGTCCTGCTGTCCACCATTACACATGCTTTCAAAATGATTTTGTGACTCCAACAGCGAGCTCGTCTGACAGACATTGAAAGGGAATTTGAAACAATTCATCATAGAAACATCGATGCTCAACTTACTTTGCCATGTTGAAAAATTACCTTTTCCAAACGCTGGAGTCCACTTGAATGTGGCGCTATCCCACTAGTCATTTCACTTTTCGTACCGAATGGAAAAAGTCTCAAGGGTACTGGATACATAGGCAGTATTCATGACTGGTGTACATATTTCCAGCCAAGTGAATACCAGCTCCATCTGGACCTACAATGCCTATTGTAGCGTTGGTGGAGGTGTCCTTACGTGCATACATTTGGCATCACGCCAGTCTCTTTCCATCAAAAATTGCCCTCACCCTAAAAATGACGACTGGTGGAAACGGGCTGACGCCGCGGCAAAATGTGCATACGCCAGGAACACCTTCGTCCCGTCAAGCACTATACAGTAGCGGTAAAACATATGTGGTTTTGGTTTTTTTTTCCGTTATTTCTCTATGCTCTTGAAGTTCTCTTCAGTCAACCGCCATATATTCGTTTGATTAGAAGGGTGACGGAAGTTGTGAAATCATTGGCACTATTTACCTTTCTTGTCAGTTCTCCGAAATGCGTCAAAATTTTGGAGAACTGGCAAAATATGTATAAAATTCGGTCGCTCGCGGTAGAAACCTTGCGCGCAAATATCATCTACATGACCCGAAACTGCCAGCCGTCCGCGTCAGGCACCACATGCCTGTTTTAGCTCGTCTCGTGTATGCGGATTCCAAACGGTTCATGTCAAACGGTTATGATATTTGTGTTCAGGATGTCAATTTACACAGTGTACAGCTGTGAGTTGCTGCTTAACTTTTGCTTTCGTCTACCCTCAGTGTGAGGCGGAGGTGGTGCAGTGGCAATTAACCCACTTACCATACACCTTCCGGCTGTCAAATCTCGGGTCCCAACCAGGTCAACCAGGCCCTCTACCATGCAAGGATGGTAGTAAGGTTTTTGGTTTGTCCGTGATCATAAAAACCCTGACTTTCTATCTGCTGGCCCACTCTTGTCATTGTGTAGCTCATTTCCCATTCAATAAGCCCCTACTATGCTCCTTATCGAAAGAATTGCAGTCGTTCTCAGACGCAGGGGGTGTCAGGGGGCGCGTTTCGGCGCAGTACAAAAAATCTTCTGACTTTAATGAAGCGGGCAAGCGACAGCAATCGGTGAAAATTAAGCTGACAAAATTCCCGCCCTTCTTCCTGTAGCGAAAATGACTAGAGTAGAAATAAGAGATGAATAGAATGTAGAATGTAATCTAGAATACATAGTCAGTTCCCCTAACTGACTATAAACTCTTCTAGAGCTTTGCCTGATCAAATAAGTAGTAATTTACTGAAGTACCGCAATGATTCCCAAACTTAATTTAGTACTGAACTTCAATTCTCAGCTCTTACTGTTAGAGCTATCATGTTCTTCAATGATTCGACTCGAGTAAAATCAATGTTAAGAATCTTCTCGAACTTTGAACGATGGATGAGCGAAGGCAAGGGATCAGTGAACACCAACCGAATAGAAGAGGAAGACGAAGAAGAAAGTGACTACTGATATATGCGAGTAGCTTATTCATAGTGATCCTTTCAAAGCTGTTCAGGATGATAGCAGCGTCTCGGGGATGTTCTCTTTCTGTGGTAGTTTGTTCTCTGTCTGTGGTAGTTTTTGTGTTGCAAGTTTTATATATTTGTGAAATAAATTTATA